TGTGACCATGTTAATCCTCGGTGTGCTTGAGTTTGGTATTGGAATTGCAGCGTCTGTGTGCTGCTGCTTGATGAAGCCCTGCACATGCTGTTGTTGTATCTCTCCAGATGAGGTATTGTTGGTATAATAATTCAAAAAGCTTCTATTTTGTTTTGTTTGTACAAGTATTTATGAAAAAAGTCAACTCGCGTTCTCCTTATTAACCTACTCACTTGCCTTCCAGCCTGTCTACCTACAAACCTTCCCACCTACTATCTTATTTATCAACCAACATACCCACTCACCCATCAACCTGCCCTACATACCCATTGACCTACTTACCAGTCTATCTACTTACCTTCCTATCTAGTTACATACCAACCTTTCTGCCAATTTACTTATCTGCCAAACCGCCCACTCACCCACTACTTACCTACCTACCGTTCTATCTACCTCCCTGTCTACCTAACAACCTGCCTATTTGTTCCCTAATTACCAACATTAACTACCTACCTACTTACCAGCTAACCTGTTTCACAACCAACCTGCCCAACTTCTAACCCACCATCTGCCCTCCAACCTACTTTAGCAATAACTTACTTTACCTACCCTCATACCAACCTACATACTTACTTACCAACTAGGAACCCACTTTACCACTTCTTTCTTACTCACCAACCTGCCTTTAATTTTATATAGTTACTTAACCAATTACTTACTTCTGTTACCTACCTGCCTACCTTCTTTTCTATGTTCGTATCCGGCCCCCCAATAACAGGCCTAGTTATGTATTTACCTGCTTGCCCATATAACTTCCCGTTAGCCCCCTTCTTTCCTACTTACAACCTAGTAAAAGATCCAGCAGTCAACAATAGCCACTATTTGGCGCAAAAAGTACGGATATTTGTTCGCGGACATTATCTGCTCCAAGGAGCGAACTGTGAGCTTCGAGGACCAGATAACAACCAAGAACAAATGTACCTACAAGGATATTATCGCGCAAAATATAGGCTATAGTATTAATCATCCTGCGGATATTTTGCGACGTCCGTTTTAAAAAGTACGTTTACGAACAGCTTACTGTAGGTAACTTGGGATGTTTTCTTTTGAGTGGTCTCTGGTACAAACTTCATTTGGGCATTAGGTCAAACGCTGCGATTTAGACCAATAGGGCGCGAGTAAAAATATTTGATGGATCATACCTACCTATATATATACTCTCTGCAGTCCCACTACATAACAAATTTACCTTCCTAACTTATCCCTCCCAATTATTTACCAATGCACCTATCATAAGACCTTTTTCTGCTTTTCAGAGCCATCATTTCTTTTCTTTTCTTTTTTTCCATTGTTATTGTAAAATTTTAGAGACGACCTTTAATGCATCATCCAGGTGGTCAGCCCGTAGTGATTGCAAGGGAAACGAATTATGTTGTTGCAGTTCCTGTGATGTGATACTACGTGAGCCTACATATCGTCAATCCTTTCTTTCATCAAACTCGTCGTTTTCCTTGCATTTATAAATTGGCTATTTGAGTTATGGTACCAAAAACTGAAATTCCAACTGAAAAATAGAAAAATACGTGCAGTAGTATTTTTGGTTGACGTAACAATAATGATTCATCTCAATAGACATCCATAAATTCGATTAGTGGCTAATATTATACTGGTAGAGGCACTATTATCATTAGTATACTTGCTAATTTCTTAACCTCTTTTCATGAGAAAGAGAACTGGTCATTTGATATTTTCTTTTTAATTGAATGATTCGAAAGTTCTGAATTTGCTTTTTGGAAATTGGTTTGACTTAGTTTGACTTATGCTTTTCTTCAAGTGAGTTTCTTTCTTTTCTTTTTTTGTTGTTTGCTTGTTTGTTTGTCTTTTCTACATCTTTAATGATTTTGCTTTTATTTAGCAGATTCTGTGAGATTTTTCCGTGCTAACTTTATTTCTAGTCTTAGTCTCGGAGGTGTTTGATTAAACATCAACGTCAACGGTTTATCTTCGAGTAGTTCTTTTGAATATTCTCATCAATAACAATGAAAAATGTAGATAATCATTATGTTGATCCTTCATCATTTTAGCGAAGTAATGCCTTCTTTCCTTGAAATGTGTTTTTGAAGATCAAATTGATTATAAACTTAAAGTGCATATGAATTGGATTTTTTTTTCTTTGCCTACTTTTACCCTCAATATGTAAATAAATCGATTGTAAACGTTTAAGTTCTCCAAAGTAAAAATGTACTCGGGATTCTGTCGCAAAAGAACTGTTCAATTTTCGTCAAAAAATGGTCAGGAGACTGGGCCGAGTTTCTGGCGCAATTTCATTCTGTGACGCAGTGTTGTGGACAGAACTTGTTTGCGCTTTGATCACTAAGAAGGGTTTACGAGGCGAAACATGTCGAGTGACTCTGAATTGAGTGCTTTCTCTGAATCTTCAAACAACGAGGAGGATGTTGATGTTTCGGAGGGGGAAGATGAAAACATTGAAGTTGTGTAGAGCCAATAAACGCCGTTTCAAGACGAGCCACTCGCAGATGATGATGAAGAAGAAGATCAAGACGAAGAGGTTGATGTAGATGGCCTTTCACCAACAGTATTGGAGTCGAGATTCAAGGTAACAGTTGCCGTGAACTTATGGTTGGTATAATTGCCATAACATTATTGTTTGAAGTCTCACAACTAATCGAGAGCTCACTTCGTTCCTCTAAAATAAGCTTAGAAGACTTGCTTGTGGCGTTTGTTTCACTGTCCAGGTGCCAGTGTCAACGGTGCAACGGCCAGAATTTAGTCCATGTGCTAGAGTTTAGTTGTTGCAGAGAGGTGGCAAATGCAGCGGCAAAATTGGCTTTCGATGGCTTTACCGAACGCGTTTGTTCCATAACGCAGCACGATGACTACCCTGCTCATAAATATGGCTCATTTTGGATACACCGCATCTACAAGTCTTGACCAATAAGAATTGCATCAAACAGTAAATTTAGCAAGGCTGTCATTGAGGGTTGTAACCCGTACTACCTGTTATGCCTGAGTATGATTGATTTTCCGTGGATGCTATGGGTGAAATTACTTCTTTTTGATAGAATTCATCTACAAAGTAACAATTTCGCCAAGGTTGTGGAGAAGGCTACAGGTGAATCAAAACTTAATGATAGCCCTGT